GGCCAAGAAGCCATTATGACACCATGGAAAAATAACAAGTCATTCAGACACTGAACTGAGAGAAATAGGAAATATAATGGAAAATGCATTATATATATATATATATATATATATACGGAGTCATTCAAAAAGAATTAGGAGACTTTGAAAATGTAATGAAAAAATGCTAAGAAATGATAACACATTCAACACATTATTAAATAGTAAAATGTTGAGAGTTATTAAATTAAATATATTTTCTCAATCTTTTTAAATGCTTTTTTTCATAGTTATTTTTTTGCAGATTTCGTGTGAATTTAAACTGTTATAATTTTTGCGTCCACTTTAAAATGGCCACATCACGAGAAATGTTTTGTGAACTGCAGTTTGTGAAGTGTAATCTTAATTTGTTTTTATAACATTTTTGAAATCTGCTCTTTTTTTCAATAAGTATATATATATATATATATATATATATATATATATATATATATATATATATATATATCGCATATATAGTGCTGGTGGGAAATCCAGCTTATTTTAATTGCCAAACCTTTTTATTTAAATTAAAAAAATGTAATCTCAGCATATGTAACTAGGCAAACATTTTTATAAGCAGATATATTCAAATTCAAATTGTGTAACCGTCATTTCATACTCAGACACCAGGCCCATCGAAAAACACTAAAAAAATACAAAATCATTACTCACGCAATGTCTAAATTATTCGATTAAAATTTTGACAAAAAATTTCAAATCCAATTCGATTTATTGATACATGAAATTCTGAGTCGTACTAGCGGTGAAGAATAATATGTATAATTATTTATTAAAATATATATATATGTGTGTGTGTGTGTGTGTGTGTGTGTGTGTGTGTGTGTGTGTGTGTGAATAAATTACAAATATTGTGTGAACATTTTTATCATAATCCTTTTATTATCACGAATATTTTTGCGTATATTACAATTGAATAAGACAGGAAATACACTATAATAGTGAGAATCACTTATTTCCCAAGTACTTTCCATCTGTTTCTGAAATCACCATCATGGAAAATAAAAGTGATTCTCATTGTTACAGTGCATTTCTTTCCTTATTTAATTGTAATATACGGAAAAATATTCGTGAATATGAAAGGATTATAATCAAAATAAGTGTTTGTAATTTATTCAATCAGACATGCCTAAAAGAGAATTTGCTGGCTAAATTTACACACACATACACACACAAGCACACACATATCAGAGATAAGTGATATAAAAGTGAATATTGGCATCAACAGCCAAAGGCGACAGGCTGTTTCCTGCTAGACGCAATCATGGTTAGTTCATTACTCACAATGCTCGACTGACCCGTATATATAAATAATTAAAAAAAAACAACACTCGCGGCCTGACGATTGCGTCTAGCATAAAACAGTCTCTCGCCTCTGAGTGTTGACTTCAATGTTCACTTTTGCATATATACATATATATATATATAATTTAATGATTATCTGTATACCACTCATATATATATATATATATATATATATATATATAAGTGACGTTTGCATCTAGCATGAAACATCCTGTCGCCTCAGAGTGTTGACTTCAATGTTCAAGTTTATATTTATATTTACATACCCTCTATCTCTATTATTGAGCAATCTATCCCATAAGTATAGCACACCTTAAAACTATATTTCTTGATATATATATATATATATATATATAAATAAATTCATTGAGTCCGATATAAACCTCAACAGGAAAATAGAGGAAGCACTGGACGGCCGTTTCGTCCTATAATTGGGACTCATCAGCAGTGCGCATCCACCACCAGGTATCGAAACCCTGACAGTTGGGTTGTCAAACAGACAACATACCAAATTCTGTACCAACCGGCCTCGACACCGAAGAGATTCATATCAGACTCAACATAGCGCCGCTCACTCACATATTCCGTGGCGGAACTCTCCTGAGTTCGCTATATAACCATAAGACTGTGCCCCTGGGAGCCACGACTACTCTCACCAAGCCGCGCCAACTGGAGCATTAGAAGCCGGATCTGCCAAACGATAAACACATATAATAAGTAGGAGGATTTGATAAACATATAAATAAATTCAAACGAAACGGCCGTCCAGTGCTTCCTCTATTTTCCTGTTGAGGTTTATATCGGACTCAATGAATTTATTTATATGTTTATCAAATTATAAATTTTATTTATGGTTATATAGCGAACTCAGGAGAGTTCCGCCACGGAATATGTGAGTGAGCGGCGCTATGTTGAGTCTGATATGAATCTCTTCGGTGTCGAGGTTTGGTTGGTACAGTTGGTATGTTGTCTGCTTGACAACCCAACTGTCAGGGTTTTGATACCTGGTGGTGGATGCGCACTGCTGATGAGTCCCGATTATAGGACGAAACGGCCGTTCAGTGTTTCCTCTATTTTCCTGTTGAGGTTTATATCGGACTCAATGAATTTATTTATATGTTTATCAAATCCTCCTACTTATTATATATATATATGAGGACTATGAATATCGATTAATGGACACAGTTAGTGACAATGCTATCTGGCATAAGGATACATAATGATATCATTAAGAATCGATTGTGTGCATTGCTTTACAAAACAAGTTTGCAAAGTAAATATTTATGGTAAATATACAAGATAACTAAATTTAATTCTGTCTTCTAGCCGTTAAACAGACTTATAAGTTAATGCACAAATAATCTAATATACGTTAGAACGTTAGTATTTTAACTATGGATACGAATCTCACTATAGTAGCTTTGTCATGTAAGTGTATTCTTTATAATATGAGCCCGGGAAGAAAAACCCGTGTGTGGCACTATTAGCGAATAACTGAAAAAATTCTATAGGCTGAGCCAAGTATTGTGACCGAAATATGGCAGGCAAAACTGCCCTGAAGCTACACGAAATCGCACGTGAGCGACATGTGAAGTGTACTAGGCTTGTTCGAATTCGTTACCCCACCAGATGAATATCCATCTCCTGTAAAACTGTTACTAACGTCCGCTCTGTGGGTGATGAACAAAGACCAGTTTGTCTGAGCAGGCTACTGCAACAGAAATTAGTTTGCCACGTTTTCAAATGGGTGTGTTCGGAAGCGATCGGCTAGCCACACATAATATAGCGAGAGGTAAGCGATATCGTAACAGGGAGACGACAGTTAAAGAAAAGAAAATAATGAACAAATATGTGGAAAGGAGTGCTGAAAAGTTCTCCGTCATTCTTGTTTGACCGAGCCCAGTCCTCGTCACCGAGCCCTCACTGCAAGCCACTAACCACTACTCCACTGTGCCTTCAACATATTCCAGTCGAATCCATTACATTCACTTACATGTTAAAACTCTTGGGAAAGGTGTGAAGGCTCTTCTTCTCTCCCCACCCCCCAGCTACGGGTAAATAGCAGGACAGAGTGGGTTCTATAGCCTTGGATGGCAACTGGTCTCTGAATTGCGTAGGTTGGGAACCTTGTAGCACGTAATATAGCAGGTCTTTTTATTCAGCCCTTCACAAAGAGAGTGGGTGGTTCTGCAAAAAAACAGAAAGAATTTCCACAGGTGGAAAACGCCAGAAAAGAACCTGCTGAAATTTTATATATATATATATATATAAATGAAGTTATATATATGTGTGTGTGTGTGTAGAAAAATATGAAAAGCTGGAAAGATTTTTTTGTGACGCGTTTAATCAGTTAGGATTTCATTAGACTGGGCAACGTCTAAACATGCGTACGAAACGACAGATGCTGGTAGTTTCAAGATTTTTGAAAGATTATTTTTGAGTGTACTTTTTTCTCAATATAGCCGAAATCATCTGTATTCTTTTTCTTTTTCTTTTTCTCTCCATCACCTTTGTCCATGATTACGCCACACTGACAACATAAAACCAACCAAGAATGGTCATATATTGCGAGAGCCTGGATGCAAATTTCTTGTGGCTGAACTAGTGATCAAGGCACTTTCCAGGCATTTTTGTCTTGGTGGATTATTTTCTCTTTGAATCAAAGTAGCATTCCCTATGTCAAAAAGAAATTATCAATATATGAAGTTGTATGTATTTTCCCACACAGACACACACACACACACACATATCTCTATCTATAAAAGGCGGGATGTGTGTGTGTGTGTGTGTGTGTGTGTGTGTGTGTGTGTGTGTGTGTGTGTGTGTGTGTGTGTGTGTGTGTAACGAATGCACGGCCGCAATTTTCGATGGATTTGCAGCAAATTTTATATGCACATGCTCCTAGTTAGCCGGAAGACCAAGACTGACTTTGCATTTCCTAACTCACATCGACAGTGGAAATAAACGATTTTTTCATGCTTTTACGGCAGTTTTCATGTATTTTGCGGCCATTTTCTACTGGCCAGAGTGAGAGCCAATAGCTGGCTGCCACGAATAGGCTGGAAGATTCTATTGGCCAGCGTGAGAGCCAACAGGTGACTGACACGAATGTTAACTAGCATGCTAGCATGCAAGAAAAAATCGATAGCCGCATTCGTCACAAGTGGGAAAAATTTAAATCTGCATGGCACTTTACTCCAATTGGCTCATTCGCTTGCTTAAACTCAACGTTGATTCTGATTCCGCAGAACTGGGTTGGGTGTGAAAAAGTATTTGTTGTTAACATTCTTTTTCATTCGGTTTTTCCAGTTACGAGTCCTTTTTTTAAAGCTGATCGTTTTGTGTTCATTTTGTTTAGTTCTTTTTCGTAACAGATTTAATGTTTAGTAAAGAGCTTATAAAAAATTCGCAGTGTGAGATAGGCAAGAAGCATGTAGCAACATCAGCACGGCAAAGGGCACTACTTTAAAGGCAAGGAAGGGCAAAAATATTTTAAGTCAAGTGATAACGATTGCTGTATGTGTCGTACGATTTTTGAATCAAGCACGGGTAACGCCGGGCCCTGCTGCTAGTATATATATATATATATATATATATATATATATATATATATATATATGAATTCATAGCCCAAAGGGTAATAAATTCATAAGAAC